ATAAACCTCGTGAGGAAAAGTTTTTCTGGGAGGGGAAATGATGTTGAATATGTTGTGGTTAGTTCCCCCTTACGTTGAGTTTAGCAGCAATTATAGAAAAGTATTGTCCTTTAACATTCTTTAGATGATGTACTTTTTTACGATATTCCCCATCTACATGCTATAGTTTTGTTACTAGCGTTCAAAATATCCTAATTATATTTCATTAGTTTTGCGTGAACTATTACTTTCCTTAAAATTATTTTGTATTCTGGGAAGTAGACATGTAAAAATGTCTACTTCGCGAAATGTTTAATTTTCTCTTTTTGAGTGCAAAGCATGCGTTAAAGTGAAATGAAAGCTTTGATAAAAATATACTATATTTTTTATTTGTGTCAACAGCGGTATAAATTGTGTTCCAGGATTTCTTCAGCGACTAATCCGTAAATAATTTTACGTTAACGTTAGTGAATGCTCTGCACACGCGTGTATTATTTATTCTATTCGTGTTCACGTTATTACTAATTGTAAGAATTTGTGCTTCATGGTCCCTGTAGCCGAGATTAGTAGTTTTATTTCATATCTAGTTGTAGTTTTGTTAATTACAATTCGATCTATTGCTTTTTGTGATTTAAATGTATTCCATGTAGGTAAATTCACTATAATATCAAAATTAAAAGAATGCAATAAATTGAGAAACTGTTCTTTTTCGTGGGATTCGCTCAGAAAATCAATATTGAAATCTCCACATATAACGATGGATTTAAAAGATAGATTACTAATTTTGTTCAGAGTTACCTCTTGATTTTCTAACAAAATGTTATCTACTAAAGCTCGCTTTTTTGGAGGTCTGTAGATGCAAAGGAAGATCGTTTTGAGTTGTAAGATGTACGATTATTATTTCAAAAACTTTTTTAACTGCATATAAATTGAATTCTGACAAGAAGATAGAATCAATATAATTTCTTACGAAAATACACGAATCTCCGTAAGCAGGGCCCTTATTTGATTCCCTCGCTCTACAATACGATCCTGCAAGGTAAAAACTAAGAATTTGGAGTGTGTTTAGGTCATAATGAGACTACCAATGTGAAGCAATAAAAACATATATTTGACCTAGACCACACTGCAATGCTGTCTCGAGAAATTAAATTTTATTTGAAAGAGATTGCACATTATGATGCATTATTTGAATTTTTGCATGTACCAACACATATGTTTCTCTGCTGCATTGCTATTTATTTATTTCATTTTTACCTCGAGTGCGTGGTCGAAGGAAGTATCGTGGCTCCAGCAGTGACAGGAGGTGAGGAAGGAGGAGGGACAAATGTAGATAAATGAGTAATGGGTGAGGCAGTAAAAGGATTAGGTTCAGGGGATGAGTTAAAAGGTTATAGAGGATGTGGGTGAGGATGGGTGTTGGGCAGGTCAGTGCCGAGGTCAGAGAGTATATATATAGTAAAGAGGCAGAGGTGTGCAAGGATGTGTTTTGCAAGCTCGCTACCGAGTGCATGTTTTCTGATAAGATTCAGGTGAAGACCATGCCGGGTTTTTCTGAGAGAAAGTTTAAGCTTAAATAATTTATCACGTGTATCTCTCAGATGCAGTTTCAATTGGTTGTTTGCGTGTTTAATTTCTTTGCACAGGGTTGGTTCGTTGTACCAGAAGGGTAGAGTCGAGTCTATAATGTTTGTGTTTGGGGCGGCACGTTGCAGTTTGTCAACATGTTGTTCAGGTGTAAAGTGACCACCCGAATTGAGGTCACTCTGTCCTCGGGTGATGACTCCCGTTTGGTGAGAGGTTTTGTATGTGTGTTCATGTAACTGGTCACGTCGGCAAACCTACCGTTAGGTTTAACCACACCCGTGGCAAAGAAATTGGATGGTTGTTTCCCACTGAGCAGGGAAATTTGTCGCCCATGGCTATCTGCTAAAATCAGTACTTTCTTGATACCGCCGCGGGAATGTCCTTGTTTACTTGTGGGTCAGGTTGCGCAACTCGTGTCTTTGTTTATTTGAACTTGCTAACCTGTTTGCGTTGGTTTGTGGGTGGACTTGTCCATGATGGGAGATGGTAGTGAGGCTTGGGAAGGCAAGGAAACTCATTGTCAAAATCTAAAACAGAAAATTTGTTTTCAGTCGTGATTGGTAGTGGTGATTGTGTTTTTGCTTTCGCGGATGGACGGTTGAAAATTTCTGTGTATTGCCTATTGTTGTACAACCGTCTGTGTTTTGAACGACCTCTTCGAGCCTTCGGATATGTTCATCTAAATTATTGTTTATATGTGTAAAGGCTTTCAGAAGGTCGGCTTTGATAATGTACAGAGTAGAAAGTGTATAGCGAATAGTAGCCATATAACGAATGCGTATCAACGTGCGTGGTAAATATGAGAATAAATAAATAGATAAGAACTCAGACTAATGTAGAAAGTATCTCGTAAACCAATATCCTTTTAATTTAAGGGTATTAAAATATTTAATTTATGTTATGTATTAATTTGAAAAATAACAGGTATGTGTTTCTAATTAGTATTTAAATGCGATTGATTAATTAAATGCGAAAGTATTTCAATGTGTTTAAAGTCATAGATCTAAGCAGCAAACTAATCAATATAATTACATTACTTTACTCTACCTATTGTAAGGCCATGAAATTCTCCACTTTTATATTCGACAATTTGAAACACGAAGTTCGGTTTTTTTTGTAACTGTTATAGACGAAACTTTGAATTATGATGTTGGTGATAATTATCACACCAATAGTTTAAAACTTGACGCAAATCTAAATTAATTTATAGAGCAAATATGTTTTGGAAGTCTTTAAACGCGTTCAAATACAAGTTTGTTCATTACACCGTTTTTAAACCAATATCTGTATTACTTCTTTTTCACTGCTTTGGACAATATAAATCTCTTTTCAACTTATCTGTAACTAGTAAACAAGTTAAGAAAACACATTAACAACAAAAGGTACCTGAAAGATGTAGAAAAGTAGTGAAAATTAAGTCAAATATTGGAGCACAGCCAGAGCACGTCAGTCACATAAGCTAGCAAGAATAGCTTGGAATTGTTTGTAAGTAACAATTTGGAGTGATGTTCCCGTAAAGTCAATATTACTCTCTTTCAATGAAATGAATTCGTACTTTTCACTACGAATGTATTGAGCCTGCTTGAGTTCTGTTTGTAATATTCAGAAATGAACATGAAAAAATAATTATTTAGCATGAATAAATAGTTTATTTAGCATGGGTTCTTAATAACCAAAATAAAAATCGTACCACAGCAAGCAAGTTCATCAGTTTTAACTTAGAAAATGTCAAGATCCCACCTAACTAGTATAACTAGTATATTCATTACTAGTATACGTCCCTACTCCCAGCCCAGCTCACCACTCTCAAAGACTCAACAAGACAGGGCACTGTTCACGTAGGCAGTGGACACAGGATGCCAGATTGGGGAATTTTTCCACAAAAAGGGAATTTTTTCGTTATGGGGCAAGAATGAGAAACATAACTAGACGGGGAATTGTTTGGAGATTTTTTGGGGGAAATTATTTTCAATCGGAGTAGAAATAGAAATAATATTCTCTCAATTATTATGAATAAGAAAGAAACTATAAACGATATTCTCGCTCATTTTTATTATCAAAAAGAGAAAAACAAAAGCGAGGTACCGAGAAAGAAAAACAAAAAGGAAGATAGTACATAAGGAAGAAGCAGTAGAAGAACATAGTAGATAAGGAAGAAGATACAAACATATTATCCAGCAACTCAAGGACGATGATTTGTTGATTGGACTTATTTGAATTTAAGGGGTCAGCCAATGGAATCATCAGAGCGGCTTATGTCGTTGGTCAATAATTTGGAGAATATTTTTGGTTTCAATATAGTGAAATGTTGTTTCTTTGAAGTGCTTATTTGGGGAAATTTATTGGGGTAGTGGAGGGGAAAGAGCTCGAAACACACCTTGCAACCCTCAGTAGATACTTCGATCCAGGCGCGAGATCTCTCCAATGCCTATCTGGCGCTCGCAGCTCTTTATATAATCGGGGCGACACGTCACGTCCTGATCACCATTACGCTGGCTCCCTGCTCAGGGCTGGCGCGCCCTGAAAGAGTGCGCAACCCTGCCGCGCGCGCGACCATTTAAGGGTCCCCACAACTCTACATTACATTTCTCTTTTGAAAAAGTCCATCAAATATTTGTAATAATCCTTTAGAGATATTTGTTTGAATCGGTAAAGAATGAACGTTATCTACAATCCTCCTTATTGCCGACCCGTAAAATACAGGTGGGTTAAAGTAACTTAATATTAAAAATAGACTGTACTTTCTGTAAGATTTATTTTAAATTATTATAAACACTTATATACAACCTTCGTTACGTAAGAAAGCAAAATAATATTTTAAATCTCAACATAAACACCGGTGTTGATGACTAGCTTCCTCAGCCTTTCACTGATAGAAATTAATCTTTTCTGAAGGAAATTAATTGGGGTGTTAGCCATTACATATTAAATCTGCGCTTACAGTTCCCTCAATGTACGAGATTCGGACTTGTACATCTCCTCCTTAGTGTAGCCCCACAAGAAAAAAAATCGCACGGACTGATATCTGGACGTCTTGCTAACCATTCGTGAGGTCCACGCCTCTCAAACCAACATCCAGGAAATTTTTGGTCCAACCATTCGCGAACAATTAGTGCAAAGTAAGATGGAATTAGCAGTAATCCAGCATTAATTCACTAATTTCCATTCTTCGGCCACAGTAATAGAATTTCAATTTTTGAACTTAATCGGGTTTTCTTTGACGAAAACTTGAATTGCTTTATTCAAAATGCGCGTGATGTTTCCAGCAGCAAACGGTTGAACTAAGTGAAGTGATATACTATAAAATTCTTTATATAATGGCTCTATTTATAACTTTAAATCATTAATATATAATAATTTACCGAGTATTAAAAATACCTAGTTACTTTACCCCCTCCTTGTGTATTGATATGCGCTTTTGCTGTATGTCCTAGGTTCTGCGCTACACGGCGCACCTGGACCCTATCCACCCGGAGGACGAGGGCCGCATCTTCCTCATCCAGTACGGCCTGGCAGATGGCACCCTCAAGATCACGGAGCCGCCGATCGACAACTCGGGCCGCACGGGCGTCAAATTCCTCAAACCCATCCGCGTGCCCAAACCAGGAGCCGAGCCCGACGACCTCGACTTCTACTCCCCCGCAGACTTCTACATCGGTGCGTACGCCTTGACTTCTCAAGTTCGCGATAGAAATAAGCTAAGTTACAGCGCGGAGGGAACTATTCAAGAACTTAATATTGGTCTGCAGTCAACAACCAGAAGAACTGTTGCCAAAATAATATTACTATCACATCAAAATATTTTGAAACAAGGGACCAAGAGTCTGATATTTCGCACACTCAACCGCATATTGTGTTCCATGCTAGAGTTATGAAAAAATGTCCAAAAACCTATCCTCCAAAGAGGCTGTTTTGCCTGCAACTTTCTGATTTGGCACTGCTACGGGCTCACAAAGCTGTCGCTTACTATTGGCTTCCTATTTATTGTCAGGGACTAACAAGTTTCAGTCAAATTCGTACGTTACTTGCGTCATTCCCATACTAATAGAATATAGGATTTGATTAGAAAAGCAATTGTTAGACAATTAAATTGTGCTGAGCGTTTACATGTCATAAGGGTCACATGAAACACTGAGGATATTCAGCCCTTCCAATGTACATCGCCTGCAATGTTCTAAAATGCGTGGATCCAATCAGAGACTTAGAATTCCTCCAACTTAGAATTTGTAATTATTGTAAAAAAACTAAATAAGGAACTTAGTTAGAAATCATATTTTAACTCTATAACAAACTTCAGGCATTGCTTCAGTTTGTTTAGTTTACTTTATCACGCCCCAGCATTGATATTCTCTTCATCAAACGTAAATGAAAAGAAAGAAAATACTTAACCCTCTGAGTTTTGTAAAAAGGAGATTTCACTAGGTTTCAATTCAATTCAATTCTCACATTCCCTTGAAACAGCAAAATTTACTGTTTGAGATTTCCAACCATCTTCTCACACCTATTAATCTAAAAATATTTTCTGCAAAACAGAAAAAATAAGTATTGCGATTTTGTACGTTTCCAATTGGTTTCGTAACAGCAGATTAATAGTAAACGAAGGGGAAACAGTTACGATGCAGTTTTGCATTTCAAACAGACAATCGCATGCGATATTGATAATTATCAATTTGAAACTGGTTAATGTTAAGGTAACAAAATGTATGGTTCTCTCAATTGTCCTACCTCAAATGGAATATCCATAAACGAATGGATCACTGAATTTTGTTCATTAGGTTAAGCGTTCACAATACTTTCAAATTCTGTTAACATTCACGCAGCTCGTTGCATATATTTTGCGAATTTACTTTCCCATCTGAGATATTCATTAATATTCTGTGGAAATACATACTGTAGAACGGAGACTTAAATTGCAGAACAATTTAGAATTATTAACCAAATCCCACTCACGTGCTTCTTGTAAGCCTTCCTTTATTGGACGTGAATCCTACCATTGCCTTGCATGTATTTACGAATCTGTAGTTTTTATCAAAACTAAATGACTTAAGGGTGTTAAAATATTACTTACGGAAGCTTACGAAACCTAATATTCTGGAATCTATAAAAATGACCACCTCGATTTAGCGGTCACCTTCACTAAAGACCATTTTTCTTGCAACCGATTGATTTCTCAAAAAGACACATGTAAATAGTTTATTTAAGTGGTCACATAGCCCCAATGGCAGCAGCCATGCTTAATTAGTTCATTAACCTATATTAGATGACCACAACCTCATTATTTAGCGATTTTTCGTAGTAACACTATAATAGGAAAAGAGCAGTGGATTTTACTGTCCAGACAGAACGTTTCTGCGTTGAGGCATATTGTCAGATCACTTAAACAATAACACCTGGGGCCGATTCATAGTCGTTTCTTATGAAAGTTCCTTAAGTAAGAGATTCCAGCCTAAATTCATAGCCAGTTCTTAAGCAATAAGGAATTCTTAAGTAATAAGGAGTTCCTCAAAATGTAGTCACTTAAGAAGGCTTGTATTTCATCTTCTCTTATGGGAGCAGAAACGGGTGTTCCCGAGCAGAAAGCTCTCAGAAATGTAGCAACGTTTCGCACCGCTCAGCCGGTGTTTAACAGTGGTAACCGTGTGTTTTCGTTGTGGCGTGGGTGTTTGTTGTCAAATTGATAATAAACGCAGTTTTACAAAGGTTGTATAATTGAGCTTTGGCTTTTTATCAGTTCAAAATGCGAAATTTCTCGATCTTATGGAAATTGTACAAAATGATGTTACGTACTAACGTTTCTGAAATTTCAGAAATTATTCGGCACAGTGTAGCTTGACAATTTTTATAGAGATCTGTGCATTCTAAAAAAATGAAATTTAATTTTTATACATTTATTATATCTGCTATAAAATTATCTGGAAGATATAAAGAAATGTCATTTCTTTATCATAAGATTCATAAAAAAAATATTATCATATATATATATATATAATATATATATACTATATATAAATATATATATATAACTATAGAGCGACTTCGGAAAGATAAGTTGCGTAAAATCTTAATGCTATTATTATTAATAAAATATTAATGCTAGCATTAGAATCTTCGTAAGAGGAGGGGTTGGAAAGGCTCTTTTTGTTTCATTTCTTCTCTCGTCGATGAGAGGAACAAGATTATTTACAACAGTGATTTTACGAAAACGAAACTACCATCTGAATTATTCTTCGTTGTATATTTCCAATGAATTATCAGCATTTCTCATAACATTCTGACGAATAAGGAATACTTAAGGCTGCAGGCAACCTTCCTTATACGAATGAGTGGTTGCTCATTTGTCACTCATTGGCAAATAAGGTCTCTTTATTAACCGGAATCTCTTACTTATGGAACACTTATAAGAAACGACTATAATGAATTCAGCCTGAAGATTAGTAAAAATAAAAGCGAGCAAAAAAGTGGAACTGAATAATTTTGTTTACGAGCTTTTTAAGATGTCCTTTGTGGCACATCTGCAGAAAAGAGATACTTGAGTTCATTACAAATAACAAAAGTTAGACCAGGTGTTCACTTCACGTTGTCTTAATTCTTTCATCAAACGACCATCTACCATAACGGTCTTTTTTTCTCCAGAAGCAACTTGTATCGCCTAAGTGTTAGGTTTCACTCTGTACTACTATTAATAAAGAATCCAAGTGCATTAATCCGTGTCCGGCGGGCGGCCCAGGCGCCCGAATCATCGTGTTCCAGAACCACTTCATCATCGACGGCTGCGACCTGCACGTGTACCGCTACATGCAGGACAACCCGGAGAAGTTCCCGCCGGCCGTGGTGGAGAACGTGCGCGGGTGGCTGGCGGGCCGCGGGCTGCTCACCGACGACGTGTGCGCGCGCGCGCTGGAGGCCGAGCGGCGAGGCCAAGGCAGCGGAGGAGGCAGCGCGGGACAGCGCACCCCGCCACGCGGCCCACGACCCGCCCCGCCGCCGCCCCCGGAGCTTAAGACGTGGGAGGTCAGCCCCGTCCGCCGCCCCCGCGCCGCCCGCTGGCCGCGCGCGCGCCTCGCCTGCTCGCCGCGCGGCCTCGCGCCCTGGCCCTGGCGCCCCGGGCCCACCGCGAGGGCTCGCGCCCGGCGCGCCACGTCCGCGACCTAGCCTTTCAGGACGTGCTCCCACCCGCGCAACGGGCCGCGCTGCTCTGAGGACCCACCCCGACAGCGTACACGCAACCTTTCGGGCCACTCTTCTTCCACTAGACTACACTCCTTTGCCCTACCCCCCACCCCACCCCTGCCGTCGGGCTGACTCGACAAGCAGCGGGCCACGCCGGTTACGCGCTGATCAGCGCTGGCGTAGATAACAGACGGACCAAGGGGTTGGTACCCCTCGAGTAACGCTCTGCAGAATAAACAGAAAAACTGCACACCTTTACACAAATATTCTAAAAATTAATTTTACTGTACGAAAATTGGACGACGTGCATAGCAGTGATTTCACTACATTTAAAAAGGCCTAGCAATGCTACTTTACGGCAATATTAAATTTTCTAATTAATGGAATCTCCGAATTCCTGTTTGAGTTGGCCCATTCCATCACAAGGAATACAGAACCAAGGATCTCTGCTATCTAGTGGTCAAATCAAATGTTTAAGTTGGCCACAAAGCAACGGAAAATTACTCTATAAACAAATTGAATAGGTCATGGTTACATCATTGTGCATACTTTATGTTTTCATACTCGTACGATGGTCATAGCAACTGGCGTCACCATTTCCCATCCGCCATTTTATCTTTGTTTACGGTCGGCGTAAATCAACGTACTCCGCCGCTACCAACAATGTTTCCTCAAGGAAACTTACCCATAACTTATAAAACGTATCTGAGTGCTGCATAATCTAAATCCATCTCACGAACAGGTCTTTGAATGCCAATTAATCCTGTCCAAAGTATTCGATTAGTGATTGGCATTCCCATCTTGTTGTCCAGTTGAATGCAATACAAATCACCTTTGCGAAAACTTTGTTTTATAATCATTAACAACTCTTACGCATTCCTTCTTTTTCCCAGAGGGAATAGTGGTCTTCATGTATTACCATTAACCTGTCTGAGGTTGTATACGAATGTAGGTGTTACCACCTACATAAGTGTGAAAATGTGTGGTGTGTAGTACGACTTTCTCAATTATCACCATTTTGTAGAAACGTGCTTATGACTTATTTGTAGATTTTTGGAGAGGTCATGTCAAGAGCATTTAACTCTTACTAAAATCACTGGTGGAAAGTTTGTTCCTGTGCTCCGGGTACCCTATCGGGCGGTCTGAGCCAACGCCACCAGGGACGACGTTGGGGGCGAATTCCGACGAGAGATCCAAACAGACCGACGAGAGCTCCCCGCTCGTCCCGACACACCAATGACGTTGCATGAAATGTCACTGATTTTCGTCTAGTTGACTTATAATGTCGTGTTTGTCACTATACCTACAACACAAGCACCTTGTTTAGCTAGAAGTAGGTCGACTTTTGATCACGATATCATATCTGTAGTTCTATATGTCGAGGGTATTAGTTACACGTCAGTGGTGTCTTCGGTAGGTTAGGAAAGGTGCCAGACCATATATGTGGCACACTGATCTCTTCAATCTGCCAAAATTCCTGTACTATATACGCTCCACTCTCATATAAAAAGACAATATGTCGGGTCATTTATCCCAATCGCTGTGTCATAATATGATGGTAAGAAGAAAACTCGACTTGATGTGATAAAAATGCAATTATATTTATGCAATTGCAAACTTCAAATTGTCAAAATGTGCTTTAAAATCTGTAAATTAAGCATTAATGGCGGAAGACGATCGCTAATTTTACACATTATATTATCCATTGCCGCTGTGAACACAAAAGGAATAAATTTAAATGATATGTCAAAATGTATTTTTCAAACATACTAAAGAGTATTTCTTTCATTGTTTAAATGAGACATTTCTCTGTAAGACCTAAATAACTGACAATTTGTCGAACTATGGAATGTGTATTAACAATGAAATAAAATGAACAACCATTAAATAAAACTTAAGTGTAATAAAATAAATTTAAACTTGGCAATAAACGGATTGTTTATGTTGGCACATTTCGTACCTGGCTAAAGCCTTTAATATCTAAATGAAGCCGGAAAACGGTAATTCGATTTTCCTTCAGCTAAATAATTATTGCGTCTTTACTGAACTTAGGCTATGAATTATTTTTATTGGCTCAGAACGAGAAAATCGGGCAATAAAGTTCATGAAATGAAATTTTAGACGTAGATGTACAAAAAAAACATTTCTCTGAAACCAAATTTTATCTGTGAATAAATTCTCCGTAATAGTGGACATTACCTCTGTTGTCGTTAATCAGACATGAATTAATTTGCTGGCTAATCTAAAGTATCAAAAGCGAACTTTTATTTAATTTAGCGTAGAAGAGTGCCAATTGTGTACAACGAATGTGTGCATCACTAAAATCGGAAACAAAATCGCCAGTACACAAGATAGTGTATTCTTTCTGGCAAAAGACATTATGTAGTTGCTTGTAGAAGTAACATTATGGCACAGTTGAAATCATTTTAAAAACTTATTGGTAAGAAATGAAACTAGGATTAATGTCACGGGTTTGTTGTCAAATGACTATGCGAATATTTATTGAACTGAAACTAAATATATTAGATCTATGAATATTTTTGTATGTGTATGCTTAGCTATTCACATTTATGGCTTTACAAATTACGCTGATTAAATAATAGTTTTTATGACTTTCAATTTTTTTGCAATTATAACGTTCAATAATAAACTTATGTTTACTAATTCATTTTCCCATAATCTCCTTACTAGTTTCTTACACAGGATGAATCACTCCAGGTGGGAAAAACACACAACAGTCTTCTTCCCAATTAGATGAACAAATGTTTCTTCTGTCATTTTACTGAGAAATGCTTCGTTAGTACATAGCAGTTTCTAGATGACTTTTTATCTGTAAAGTATGACGATGTATATTAATGAGATCACTTTTGACCGTCCATGCTCGTATCTGGGCCACTGCATCATCGTATGCCACGGTGACATAGATAGTTCGGTTAATTTCTTATAATCTGGAGTCAACTAAGTGAATGTTCTGCTGAATTGATGAAGTAGCCTGAAGTACTCAACTTACATGAAGTAATTGCCTGCGTCGTTGTTATCGCACGGCGCATGCAAGTGGCCCTTCCATTCAGTCTACAACGTTCTTGAACTAAGATAATATTCGTAGCGTCTTTGGAATTTGCAGTTAACTTAAACGTGGGCCATTGCAGTATTGGTTGTCCCAGTATTCATTCGCATGACTTTATAAGCCATACTCGTATTTGCAACTTCTATTTCAATAGCGTATTTTAATTCTGGTCACTTATTACTAAATATTTCATTTCCTTGTATCTGTCACCCAAGTAACGCACTTTATCGGCTGCGCATTCTCCTTGCTCACCAACACAATAAACATAAGCACGCTTCTCTATACCCATGACTTTGCGGTGCACAAACTTTAGACAGATAAGACACCACATTGCCGCCGCATTTGTATAGCGTTGATAAGATACCATGTATGTTTAGACTCCCCCACTGTGCAGCAATGTATCCAAAAGTCGAGTGGATGATCTAAGTATGCCAGCTCCGATATCTCTTACCATTTCAAACAATACTTTTCTTTCTTGGCCTTTTCTTCAAAATCTACTTCTTCTAAATCCTCTTCTTCAAAATCTCTTCATTATCTACTATGTAATATCTTAATATATCTGTAACAAGTATTGTAGTTTAATCTCTAAGCCAATGACCCTATCTTGATCGGATTTTTTGTCCAGTTTCCCTGGTCCTTTGAACAAATGCAGAGATGGCCCCTTGTGTTCCTTCTGGACAATAAATGTAACTTCACTCGCTACTCCCAAGAAGATGTATGCGATTGTACTCCCATTAAATATATCACATTTGACTCGTCATACACGATTGTAATTGTATATGTGACTCAATAATAATAATAATTATTATTATTACTATTTTTAAAAGAGGTATCTTCAAAGTTCTCCTTGTGTATATCATCCATCATCAGACCAACCTATATTTGTAGATTACTATAGACAACGATTTTTAGCGAAAACGAATTTTATACTTTTTTCGTCAACGCTTTCTCTTTTCTCTCTTTCTGAGTTCCTTCTTCGATCTTTTCTACTGGCTCTATTGTACACCTCGAGCGCATTTGCTCTAGGTGCCTCACTACTATTTTGTTCAATACTTGAATCTGATACATCTTGTTGCCTTTCTATCAAATCACTACTCCCGCCCATCAAGCAGGATCCCTCTTAAAACCGGTGCAATAAACTTTCTCTCCTACCTAAAATTTGTACTCCACAGCTTCATCCTTCCGATGGTTACCTGGTTTCAGTAGTAACTGTAAAGGTCTGTGCTGCGTGCCGTGGAGTACCTCCGCTGGGATCTTTCCCTCCGGCCCCGGCAGCGGTGTAGGTTGCCATTACTCTGTATAAGGCGCGGTTCCTCGAAGTTCCTGCATCCTTCGCCTTCTTCATAGCCGTCTTGAATGTGCGCATACATCTTTCCACTTCGCTGTTTGACTGCGGGTGGAAAGGCGGCGCGCATACATATTTGATTCCATTGGACCTGCTGAACTGGAAAAACTCGTCTGATATAAACAGTGGGCCATTATCAGAAACTAATTTCTGTGGAAGTCCGTCTGTCACAAATATCTTCTATAAAGCCACTTTGGTGGCCCCAGTTGTCGTGACTCGCATTTCAACTGCACGGGGAAAATTTGATTATATATATATATATATATATATATATATATATATATATATATATATATATATATATATATATTACCACTAACCATATTTTACCCCAAAAGGATCCCACAAATCTATATACCTCGCTTCCACGGGGCTTCTAGTTTTGGCCACGAGTGCCAGTCCTACCGCTGTGCTCACTGATTTATCTGGCAAGCGTTACATCTCCTATACATATCTTGAATATCCTCACTCATTTCTTTCCAATAGTGTGACTTAGCCAATTGCTTGGTATTTACAGTACCCCAGTGCCCTTCATGCAATCATTCTAACGCCTTCCTTGGAACCTTTGGCACTACCATTTTTGTTCCCTGTTCTCTAGCTAATAACAACACTCCCGCCTCTATCGATCAGCTATCCTTCTTCTTATACCAATTTGCCCTTACTAAATTACTTCTTAGTAGCTTCCTCGGCCATCTCTTCCTCACAAAGTCCCCGATCACCCTTAACTCTTGGTCTTGGCCCGTCGCTATAGCTATTGTTGCCCCGCCGTTATGGGAAACTTTTGCAATACCTGCCAGCCTTCCAGATCCACTTGCGTCCTCTGACTCGTCGAAATCAAAGTCTAGTCCTATCGGTAATCTGGGCAGCGCATCTGCGTTGGCTTGCTGCGTTGTAGATCTGTAGTGAATTTGGTAATTATAGTCTGTTAAGAAAATGGCCCACTTCTGTAGCTTTTGTCCCATGTGGAAAAGCTGTACCAACGGTTTGTGATCAGTTTTATGTGAAAGTTTGAGTACACGTACTCGTTAAATTTATTCACCCCAAACAGGACTGCTAACGCCTTTTTCTCGACATGTGAATAGTTCATCTGGTGTTTATTAAGGGATTTTGAAGCAAAGGCTTTGGGGCGCTCATCCTTCCGAAATAAAACCACCCCACGCCATAATCCAACGCATCAGTCGCAATCGACGTAACCCATCCCGGTACATAGTGATTCAGCTGTGTCGCCTCTATTATTGCATTCTTCAACTTTTGCAAAGCTTTTTTACACTCCGATGACCATATAAACCTAGTGCCTTTTTTCTTCAGCGCATTTAATGGTGCCGCCATATATCGGGCCGGCATCTTCAACTTTCGTTGGTACAGGTATAAACTACACTCCCCCACGATTGATTCGAAATAACGATTGAAGCAATTCTGTTCTCTATGGTTTCATAAACTCCTTAGCTGTCTCTCTAACATTATTTTATGTCTTCAATGATAAGTAGTTTAGTTGCATATTTTGACAATAAAGAAACAATCTCGTCACACTTTCTAGGCCCTCTTCAATATCCACAACTTCGTTTTCCTCTGTTGTTTCCCTGTCCCTCTCAGTTTCCTCTTCTCTTCTCAGCATTTTCCATCTGTCTGACGAACCACTCCCGGCCCTAGCCCGAGTGAAGAGGGGGCCACCTTATTTATCTGCACCTGGTGTTTGTAGACATCTTTCGTCCATCTTCTGAGCATGGTATAGAATCTGTTGTACCCGGAGGATGCACACTCAACTAGTGTACTTAAGAACTTACCACAATAACAGTCTAACAAATATTGGTGGCCTAGGCTCAAGAAGAAAGGAAGAAACGGCATGCATCTTGTGCGCAATATTCTAATTTATGTGTACTGAAAATTATGGTTAGAAAAGTTAATTTTCTAGTCGCGCCAAATTTGGCGATCTCACAGCTGCGGGTACGATATCGTGGCTGCAATTCGCAGTCGACTCTAATTGAGTGACAGAGGGCGAAAACAAAGTCGACATGGCGGCTACAAATACACAAAGTGTGTAATAGCGTAGAGCGTCCCCTTTCCGGGTTTGTGAGGGGAAATAAGAGCCAAGTCAGGGGAGGTGGACCATGCCTGCAGGAACGCTTTCCAGGCGGGCAGATAGCTCGTGCAGGCGCAGTTGAACATGCACATTGTATATCATTCTTCTAGTGAAACAAAATTGTTGAGAAAAATAAGTCATCAAAATTATGCGAAAAGTTTTGATTATTTATATTTATAAGAATTGATTATTTACTAAAAAACTCGGTCAAATTAGGAATTTATTAGAACAATTTATTTTTATTAAAAATTATTGATAAATTCAAAAATATTGTATTTCGTCTGACATCAATTGTAATGCGTAATTCAATTATGTTTCTTAAGTTGATAGAACGTTCATACTTAATACAAACAGCCTTCTCTGTGATATTAATGTAATTGTATAATGTAGTTAAATGACTGCAATATGAAGTGCGTTAACCCGATAAAAACATATATGCCAAATAAGAAAAAATGTATTATCCGCGTATAATTCTCTTTAAATCGTTTTTCAAGCGTTTAAAAGTGTTTTTCATCATGATGGTGACTAGTGGTAACGCAGTAACTGCATCTTAATTACTTTTTTAATTTATTTTAGATAATGTCAGCTATATCATCCAATTTCGTTCAGATAAAATGTAAAATGTCTTAACATTCATTTTGCAGTCCAGGTCAGACCGCAACACTGAGAGAAATATTGTAGAATGTACTAAACATATTTAGTAAGCGATCATGTACTAGTAAATACAATTATTTCTGTAGTAAGATTCACTAAACATTTTATAGTTTCGTTTACTAAATCAGAAAATTCAAAATCGTGACTGAATAAAGAGAATTGTACGGGTACTTTACTTGTTTCGTAAATAAAATCATTCGGTGAGATCTACGTTTCATGTCGTCACCTTCTAAAAACTATTTAGTAAGTTCAGCCATCTTATCAATTCGATTTGTTATAGAGCCCGTGAGAAGTGTAATATTTTAAGGCTGTATAAAGAATTAAACGCTATATAAATGACGTGTTTAGTATTTTATTGGTTTTACATAATTATGTTTTATTCTAAACTAATGGTAGAAATGTCGGCAGCCCGTGTCCGTAAGTGTTTTGCTTGGCTAGAGTCTGCCAGGTAATCGAGTCCACGCGGCCGTAGAATGGGTGACCGCTCTGGAACCTCAGTGGCACCTGCCTGAAGGAATAGGAAGTATTTCCTTTTATGTGTCCTTTAGTTATTTTCACTGCAATGTGTATAGTAAATATTACTCAATGTATTAGTCAACGCAACGATTCGGTTAGTTATTTCCACTAGATACCATTCGTTATGGGGCATGACTTGTATAGTGAACTATGCGTGCATTATAGTTCAGTGTAGCTTAGTATTATTAATATGAATTATAGTGTGTTTAACTAAACCGCAGTTCCGTGAACGAGGACTAAGCACTTTGTAGTATCAGGCAATTAAATCTACTACCTGATTAATTGTATGACTAAAAATTTATCTCCGTGTGTTGTTCCCACCCCTGCGCAGGATGTAGTATGCAGTTACGTAATGTTAGCAACAAAGCAGAGAACAAAATGAATAGATAAACTTTGTTCGTATGTTTATGCTATGTGGATAAATAATATCACAAAACAAAGCTGGGATTACACCAGCTTTTTGAATAGAATTTTGTTTCCTGCCGAGAGATTTACTCAGCCAATGAAACAGTTTACAAAGTTCCCAAGAGACACACGTGTGTTTCATTGTCGCTGTAAATAGAAGTACACCGTGGTTGAACATGAGACGTAACTAAGAAATTTCGTTGTTATCGTTTTAATGTTCAGTGAAGAAATCTACATTTAAAAGTATATTGAATTTGAATTCAGTAGTCATACATTTAAATGAACATTTATTTCTGTTTAATTTAGAGCATTTGAACTTATAAATAAACCTTACTGGCAAAAGAATGTAATAAACAACTAAAAAATACAAATATAGAGTTAGAGTTAATAGTGCTATTATTTGTTTTAATATATTTAACTACACATACACGTTTCTTTTATAGTGTTAAAAGAATGTTAGGTGTAAAAATAATAAAGATACTTATCAGAGGTGTATACAACTTAACTCAGTTAACGCCTTGTAAGTTTTCTTGAATCGTTTACTTTATACTAACAATTTGGGAACTCCTACGTTCTGTTGTCAACAGAATATGAGGTTTTCTCCGGAATAATACCAATGAAATACGAACCGAGTTCGTGACCACAATTCGAACTTGGCGGCGTGTGGCCGTGAGTTGGTAGGCCCGGCCTCCAGTTTTGTTGCCCTGGCAGCAATAAGATAATTGTACACTACAAAAAGTTCAAATATTTGTAATCAGTACACATTTTAAGAGTTCGGCAATGGAAGAAATTAGCAAGAGGATGAGATAATGCATGCCCCTCCGAAATATACTGATGAGCACCGTGTCGGTCGCAAAGGCAAAGCTTTACTGTCTAGTGTGTCCGTGATTGAGGAGATAGCATGTTCGATCAAAGAAAAGTGCAAGACACTTTTTGATACTGTATGCTTATCATCAGTGAGCTTGTCACAACTGCGGGAATCTAATTTCTAGGACGACTGATCATTGGTTTCCTTGATCCGTTCCAATCGATGACGGAGCACCCTATTCAATGGGTCACCGATCGCGTACGATGTTACCTTCCCCTCAAATACAATCAACCCTTTAGAGTATTTCAGACACAGCATTAAAGTTGTTTCTACAGCCACTCTGACTGCGTTCCTATGACTGAGGTTCTATGGTTCGAATTCGTATGGTGACAGATTGTCGACACTAGCTAGATGAATTCAGCCGCTGGTTGGAGGAGAATTCTAGCGGCCGGCTGCTCTTATCGGCAGTTTTTCGTGATTTCCTTGCTCAACACCAGGCGAATGCCGGCCTAGTACCCTAACAAACGGGCCACGTACAGCAAGCGATTTTTCCTTCCTGTTCCTTTTCCTATCGTATCCCTTACACACACATATGTATGTATAATATTATATATATATATATATATATATATATATATATTACATAATATACATACAACATACATACATACAATACATACATACATACATACATATGCACTACACTACCGCATATGTCGGAAGAGCAGTCGGGAGCTTAGAACTTGTGCCAGCTGGGGCTGTGTCACTGTGCCGGCCGAGGGGAAATCCCCGAAAGCCGTCGTGTATGTATGATCCATCGGGAACACTAACGTACACAAAACGCCTCCTGACCCTACAGCCGGCGTGCCCTTCGCTGTCCGCCCGCGGGGCCAAAGCACAGCCCGTTGCGCGTGCGCAGATGCCGTGCCCGGAGCCGCCGCCGCCGCTGCCGTGCGTGGCGAGCGCCGGGCCCGCCGAGCCCATCCCGCCCGACCCCGCGGCCTGCGACACGCTGGGCCGCCTGGCGGTGGAGCGCGAGCACTCGCACCTGGGCTCGCAGGGCGAATTCCCCGGCGGGCCGGCCTAGTCCGCGCCACTGCGCTGTCCAACATATGTTGCCATGTGTCAACTTCATTAAAGAACTCTCATCAATCTGTTATTAATGTCGCTAATAACTTCTTAATAGCATTCATAATAGCAAGAAAACGGATTATCTCAACTTCAGATTGTTTAAATGCATCTCTTCCTGAAATCGTAGTTGAATTTTTTGTTCAAAGTATTCGCAAGCTTCCGCGGCCGGAGTCAATGCATTCTTGGCTATCCGGGATGAGCCGCGCCTCGGTCAATTGTGCTAAAGTTTCCGCCATCTTGCTGTGGCCTTCTTCTGAGCTATAACAGCAGTATAGCTCTGAAGAAGGCCACAGCAAAATGACCGAAACGTCAGTACAATTGACCGAGACGCGGCTCATCCCGGAAAGTCAAGAATGTTTTGTTCAAAGTAGTTGTCATTTAAACACACGAAACGATTAGAAATTAGTACCGGTGAGCATTATCCACAAGCAGTCATTGGAATTGCTTCAAAGACTTTTACAAAAATGAACAACACTAATGAATAAGGTAAGCCTTTCCTGGTATAATCTTCTTGTGATGTTATCCAAGTAATCCATTTAGTATGTAAAATAATCCATTATTTCCTTACTTCAGATATTGGGTACTGGAACGTTACATACGTAAAAGATATGCCTCGTTGTTTCGAAACGTCAGAACAGTTCTCTTGGCTAATGGTACCAATATGCTTTGTAATAGTGAAACAGTAATTTGTTCAACATCAGATGTTTCAAAGTGGTTTGGTAATAAAGTATTATGAAATGATGTAATGATGGGTATTAATACACGAGTTTGAAGTGCTATTATGATACGAGCGATTTTGTGAACTTCATACGAGCGTGCTTGTACACATTCCGAGTTACATACAGTACTCTTTCTACATCTAATGTTGTTTGGTGTAAGTTAAAATTGACATTGAAAGCGTACGCGATAGCTTAACTGCAATATACAGACAATGCCACCTACCAGACTATTTCCTAGGCATACTAGATGGCATTAATTAAGCATAAAAACAATTCAAATACCAGAGCACGAGCTAATTTAGGATTTAGTTGATGAGAAAAAAGGCATTCTAATTCAGTTCCTGTCCATATTCCTTACTAGCTTAATAATTGGAGCAGTTCCTAAAGTGAGCTTCAGTATTCTGATTTTCTTGTGAGTTTTGGAAAAGGGCAGGGCATGTGGCGAACCCCACGGGTTCTCTCTGTACAGGAATATACACAATTCAAAGCAGCTTATAATAGAAAGATTGCCAATGATTTTAAAACCAATATTTTTGAATTTAAAACCAATATTTTAATTTTGGCAGGTACTATACATAAAGTCTTGGGACATCTTCAAAATTTTCAAATAAATAGGGCCAACGTTTTTGTTTAAATTTTATTGTTGGATAACGTGAAGGACGTTTAAGAGAATAATAAAGGTCCTATTTTCGTTGAAAACCCTAATTCTTCGAAAGTTACAAAACTTTTTCGGCGTCTTCCTACAACTAAAATATTAAAGATCTGAGTTTTTCCATTAATGAAATATGTTCTTTAAAGATAAATTTTGTAATGAGGTGATGCACAATTTTTCGAAATTTTGAATACTTTTTCGTAATTTGGCGTGAAATATAAGCAATTTTTAATTCTGTTCAAACTTTTTTCTTAAAAACGGCACCAATGTTTTTGAGTAAATCTTGACCTCCGATAACGTAAAAAACGCAAGAGAATGGTGAAGGCTTCATGTTCGTTCAAATTTGCGGTTTTCCGAAAATTTCCGGCGTCGTCCTTCAATAACTATTATTGTTAAGATAATTTTTTTCTTAATGAAATGTGTCCTTCAAAGACAGACCTTCATATAATGTCATGTTTAATTTTTCGAAAATAGTATTTTTGTGTTGCCGCTTGACGAGCTGTCATTTTAAAATTCTTTTGAATTCTTCTGATTGTCCACGGTTAACATGGAAGCATTACGAGGCTTCAGTTTTATTGTTTTTAAACAGTTAAAAAGAATGTGCGAGTTTCAGTGGGGGAAAATGTATTACTATGTGAACGTTTGCGTAAATTCTGAGGTCCAACTTTAAACCATATGCATGATGAATTCTGAATACAGATCGAAACGAGCATTTGTTCTTCAAGTCGTGAGTTAATTGAAATTACCCCAATTAGGTTTTCTCTCTTAAAAATATTTAAATATAATATGAAAGAAAATTGAAAAGTACCATAATTTTGTACGATTGTTTATTACCATAAAATAATATTAACATCTTACGCGGTATTATTATTAAATGCAGCGATGGATATTTGAGATGTTTTTGTCAGACTTTACTATTGGCGACACGAATGGGGGAGAGATAACATAGGGCGGCTTTATTTACTTAACGTTAATGTTACAATGTCTCTACGTTCAATAAAATGGTATTAAACTTTATTGAAATCTGGACGAATATATGCATAAGGTAATGATATCGTAGTTTCGAATGCATTCATAACGGGAATTTTGGATGGCATTTATTTCTGGATTTTCAATTTATTTGTGAAATTATCCTAGCTTGTCTGTATGATGTTTTAAAATAGTAAACTTGTTTACAATAGTGTTCGTCCATTTACTATTTCATATTATTTTATTTTATCAAAAACTAACATACGAAGTTGGAACAGTTTTCTAAAGCGAGTAGTCAGCAAAAATGAAACGTTTTAGCGAGCTTTCTACTTTACTGCTCTCCGGGGCATCTATAACTATTTTAATTTTTAAATTAATTAAGAAGACACTAATGATAATTTGTTTGGTTATAAGTCTTCATTTAAAAGAAAACGAATCGTTCAAGAATAAACTTAGAATATCTAGAAGAAACAGCGAAAAATAATTGTAGGTACTTGAAACAAAAGCAATAGTGTTCTATAAAGAACATCTTATAAGAACTATCATAAAAACACAGCAATGCAAACTGAAAAACAGTTCCATTTATGGCAAATTTATTCTAATATTACTGAAACTGTTATATCACAAAAGCTACATTCTCAATCACCGTCAAAAACATCGTTCCCCCTTCTTCAAATCCTACCTAACTCTACTCACTAAAATAGTAAGACATCTTTCGGCAACATGAAATGCCCAATACCTTCAGTTCCAAATTTAAACCGCTGCTGCCCTCCATAGGAAAACTGTTTGAAAAATGTATGCTCACCAGATTACTCTCCCTTCTCAGTTCCAGTCCAAGCCATACCTCCGCACCAATTCGGTTTTCAACCATTACTTTCCACAAATCACCAAGTAATAAGACTAACCAAAGATAATCGAAGGCTTCCATGAAAAGAATCACCCAGTTGCAATCTTCCTCGTCGTAGTTAAAGCTTTTGACACACAGGACTATTATTTAAATTACTTCTGGCATCCAGAATTATTATTCAAACTTATTCACATCGTAACCCCCAACTATCTTATTCATATTATCAAAAACTTCCTTGCAGATCACACTTTTTTATCCACCTTCCTGGAGCTCTTTCATCTTTCCCCATTAATGCATAATCCCCGAAGAGTCTGTTCTCTCTGCCACACTATTTAGTCTTCATATAGCCGATATACCATCCACCTAAACTCCATTGCACTGTTCCGTGATGATACCGCTATATATTCCTCACACCGTGATATTACCACCGCATGAGAAGACCTGCAACATCACCTCTCCCAGTTCTCCAACTGGGCCAAGAAATGGCACATCCGGATGAACCCAGCAAAAAAGTCAGACCAAAATCTTTACACTCCGCATACCAAAAAATCCTCCCCCTCTCAAGTATCAAGGAAAAAATATATTGTCTCCCAAACAACAAGACAGTCAAATATCTTGGTGTACTTTTTGACAAGAGGCTTACTTGGAAATCAAATATTCACAGAATTACTCTGGCCACACGTAGAATCCACCAATTACATCCCATCCTCAAAGGTCTTCACCCCTGCGAGTTCATGTAGCTTCTAATCTATACCAATCACTAATTCGTCCAATCGTATTCTACGTGTCTGCTATCTGGGCATCAGCCAGAAAAAAATGCAGATTTTACAAAATAAAATCCACCGAACCATTACAAAAGCTCTCTGATTTGTACCTAACTCCCAGATACATAACGAACTCGGCATTACTCTGATCTCACTCCTATGCACCAACGTCTATCCTAAAATAACCCAATTCCTTCTTCCGTACATTTAAAAATCGGAAAACAAAATTCTCACCACAACAGACAAAAGCAGAAACTATTGCAACAGTCCTTCGACCTCATCATGCACCCGATATGGCTTCGCACATTCAATCTATGTGTTTTCAATGTATTCATCTGTGAATAATGTTTTCTAAACAAGGCTAATGTAATTCAATGTATCCTCAAGCATCGTACTCGTCTGCTGACGGCCTTCGAGCCAAGCATAAATAAAGCAAAAAGTTATGACAAAAATGGCGGTTTCAGCACGAATTGGTTAGAAAATATGTACCCATTGTTGGCAGTGTTAATCACTGCATGATCGCTTTGTTGTCATCACTTATTGATGGAGATGTGTTGATATAGCCAGAAATTGCGGTTCAATTTTATTACATAACATTACTATGGGGCCGAGAAAGTATGAAGTGTTTTAGCACCACTAGCTTCTACCTTTCAACGTAACCTCCATTAACACCTACATTTGTGACATCGTTCTTGAAATTGCTTGTGCCTCTACTATAAAATTCCTTTGATTAATCTCGAAGCCACTTTTGCACTAGACTTTTATCTTCTTGATTCGATTTCTTTTTTATTTGTTGCGACTTCCAAACAGTCTCTTAGCTCTTCTTGGGCATTGAGTGTATCTAAAGTAATCTTCCATTAAGTCTTTTTGTCTCGATACGTCGCAGGCAGTCAGTGCCTTTCATCCATTCTGCCACTAGCTCGGCACCGTTAATAACCGGGATTTCCAGAAGCTCACCCGTCCAGAAACCCGTGGTTTCTCGAACCGCTTAACTTCCTTAACTAC